AAAAATTAATTCAGGGCTATCCAGAAGGCTTTTGCAATTTTATTTATTGATATTGGGCATGTGAGCTTGTCTGGTGTGTTAAGGGTTAGAATTGTGTAGTATGAGGACCCGTTTTTATGGTGACACATTCCATCATACATTGCAGTTTATCCTGGTAAAGTAAAAAAGAATATTGATAAGCATTTACATCTGCAGTGATACAATGCAGACAGCTGTTCTACATAGAAATGGCAATGGAATGTTTATGCTTAAGCTGTGCTCTTACTTATTAGAATGATTTAATTGCAGGTTGGAGTTTTCGTGTGGCCAGTGGTACAGACTGTCAATTTTACTATTGTGCCAGAGCGGAACCGTATTGTGTTTGTGGGATTTTGTAGTATGGTCTGGACATGTTTCTTGGCATATATGAAGCAGCTAGAAACAAATAAATTAGGAAAGCCACAATGATGTTGCAGTGTTTGGGACTAGGTTCTATTTTTTGATATAATGAAGCATTGCATTCATTTACTTCTCTTTTCAAGCAGGAAATGCAGATGATAATGGTAAATTCCATGTTTATCATTGTTGTTAGTCATATACATTGATAAAGAAGTGATTTGCAGGTAATGGTTGTAAGTTATGTGTTAATTATTCCAGATTTGTAGATACGAAAATGGATTATAATTTAGTAGGAATCTAAAATAAATTATTTGGGACCTCCGTACTGTATCGATTTGACCACCAAGGCTGAAATAAATATGGTTAAGTGATGTGCTCATTACTAATTCTGATATTAGTGTAACTGATTTTTTTTTTTTTTGCTATCTGCATGACATCTTTTAGCTATCGTTAAAACTGCACTGAGTGGAATGTAAAAAAAAATTGTTGTCCCCAGATTTCACTGCTGAAGTTCAGTGGGTAACACTAGTTTTCATGTTGTAAACTAAATCCATTGTTGAGTATTAACCATTGCTTTGACAGATATAATGGTAATTATCTTCAAGGTGAATATGTAGAGGGGCAAGTTCTGGAAGTCTTGTGTACTGCATGCCTTAGGTGGCTACTTAACGTTTGATGGTGGTGATTGAAGTGGAGGAGTGGCCATTATCCAACAGCAGAGAACCATGTGGCAAAACTGCTCAATTTGGCTCCATAGACAAGCTGCCCATAAGGACTTCATCGGCCACCCGAACTCAGGCACTCCAATGTCACATTTCCTATGGAAGTGAAAATGAATTGTCATAGTGGTGCCTAGCAAGGGATGATGTCTTGCGCTTGTGCAGGACTCCACACTTAGCTTTTTTGGTCAGGGGTTGGTTAGCTTAGGTTATGCTAGGTTAGTGATGTGCATGTGCAGATGGTCATTCACAATGATCAGCTGCCCTTGGGAATGTTTTGTTGAATTTGGATACATTGGGTTAGGTAAGTTTAGGATATGTTAGTGATGGGCATGCTTAGATGACCACCCGTAATTCTCATCTGCTCATCTGAAGGTTTTATTGAATTTATGTTGGCTTAGGTTAGGTAACGTTAGTAAGTTGCCTGCTCATACAACCATGCATTTGTGCAGACTACCAAACCTAATATTCAGGAGCTAGGGGGCAGATTTATTACAATTTGGTTGTTACGTAAGGTTGGATTACGTCATTTTACGTTCATGACGCGTAATGCTAGGTTTGGTTGCATATTTAGTACAATGAGGTTACATAGATTAGGACTGGTCAGTGACGCAAATGCCCAGACGATCATCCGCAATATTTATCTGCTAGAGGCCAGATTTAGTAGAATTTGTTTACGCTGGGAGAGGTGGGGCTGGGTAGGGTTAGGTTAGTGACTCACATGCGCAGACGGCCATGAGCAATGTTCAGCTACTAGAGTGCAGATTTAGTAGAATTCTGTTGTATTAGGCAAGGCTGAGTTTGTTTGTAGTATAAGGTTGGTGACGCGCATGCGCAACGAATACGAGAATTCGCAACCACTGTGGGCAGTTTTCAGCTCTTAGAAGGCATATTTCGTTGAATTTTGTATCGGGTTTGGTTGGATTACGTTGAGTTACTGATCCGCATGCTCTTAGTATGCACACATTTCAGTGGCTGCGGTCAGTTTTACTAGAATTTGGTTACGTTGAGTATTCGAAAATGTTTAATTTTTTTCGTCTTTTGGAACATTTCTGAACTTCTTGAAAATTTTTAAAACTATTCCACCAGATAACCATGCCGGGTGAGACCGGGTACGGAGAATTTTGAAAAAAAATTTCGGAAAATGTTCAAAAAGCGCACACAACTAAAAAAATTAAAAAGTTTCGACTTGTTTTTTTTAGAAATTTTGAAATGTCTTCGTTTTTTATAACATCAGCTTTTCTATATTTCTGAAAAAATTTCAATATTTTGAAATTTTTTCGAAAGTCGTTCAACCAGACACCGCATCGGCAGAGGAGTCAGGTCAGGAGAACTGAAAATTTTCTAAAATTAAGAGAAATAAAAAACGTTGGAAAATGTTCAAAAAGCGCACAAAACTAAAACATTCGGAAAAATTTCAACTTAAATTTTTTTTAAAATTTGCGAACATTTTTCGTTTTTCATGATATTTATGAACTATTTGATGTTCTTTTAAAAAAATTGAAAGATTTCCTATTTTCGAAAGTCGTTCCACCAGACGACAGGACGTACAGAGACCGGGTGCGGAGAACTGAAAAAATTATAAAATTAAGAGAAATCAAAAAATGTTGGAAAATGTTCAAAAAGCGCACAAAACTAAAACATTTGGACAAATTTCAACTTCAATTTTTTAAAACCTGCGAACGTTCTTCGTTTTTCATAATATTTATGAACTTGTTGTTGTCCTTTTAAAAATTTTGAAAAGTTTCCAATTTTCAACAGTCGTTCCACCAAACAACAGGACGTACAGAGACCAGGTGCGAACTGAAAAATTTATAAAATGTTCAAAATTTTCGAAAAATCGAAAAATTTAGGAAAATGTTCAAAAGGCGCACAAGGCGAAAATTGTTTCAAGGATTTTTTAAATTATCTGAAAAGCGCACGAAACCAAAAAATTTTGAAATTTTTGGAAAAAATTTTGAAATTTTTGGAAAAAAATTTGAAAGTGGAATTTTTCAAAACTTTCTGGTTTTGTGCGCTTTTTGGACAATTTCCAGCGTTTTTTGATTTTTCAATAATTTTGAAAAAATTTCAAAACTTCTTTCACCCCACCTGATGCCATGCAGGACAGATCGCCGTCGGACTGTCTGGTGTAGTGTCTCTGACGAACGCGGTCTGTGCCTCACACGGTCTTCTATAAGCCGAGGTGCGTGATGCAACACGTAATGCAGATACCGAGACGGGCAGGGACACGTTTGGCCACACAGAGAGCGCTGCATAGGCCGGTTGTGCAGAAACCGAGGCAGTCAGCAATCGGAGAGGATCGAGGCCGAGTCCGGCAGAGACAGCGTGAGGCATTCGCAGAGGTTGGCATGCATCTCTTGGTGAGAGTTTTGAAATTTTTTTCGAAAAATCAAAAAACGCTGGAAATTATCTGAAAAGCGCACGAAACCAAAAAATTTTGAAATTTTTGGAAAAAATTTTCAAGTGGAATTTTTCAATTTTTTTTTGGTTTTGTGCGCTTTTTGGACAAATTCCAGCGTTTTTTGATTTTTCGAAAATTTTGAAAAAATTCCAAAATTTCTTTCAAATTTCACCCCACCTGATGCCATTCAGGACAGATCAACCAACCAAAAAGCTAACTGAGG